ATATATTTGACACTGGCCATAGGGATAGGACCAGCAGTGCACAAAAAAGCTACTCTGCAGAAGTTGTCAGCATGGGTCTGTAGCCACAGAGATGGAATCTGATTTGTCAAGGACCCCAGGGAGGGTGATTACAAACTAGAAAACAGACAAGAACAAGGCAAATGGGGCTAGAGAGAACCTGTTGGCAAAATTGTACAAGGAAGAGAAAAAGTCATTGAGATTTTGCATTCTGGGCCACATATGAGGAGGCTGATGCAGCTGGGCTGAACCTGGAAAGCGGGAATAAACAGGGCAGAGGCAACCTCAGGCTGTACGCTTAGGCTAACAAAACCCAAAAGGGGAAGAAGGAAATCTTGGGGAATCGTCCTTTTGTATGCTCTGTGGGATCAAACTTTTACAAAATTACAGGAGTTCCTGTATCATGATTTGAGCCAGGAGGCAGGAACTCTTTATTTCCTTAGGTTCTGTTCAAAATTTACCCATTTATGGGGGAGTGATAGAGTTTAAGACTCACTACCCCAAAATGTGGCACCTTTACAACTGAAGAAACAGCAACAGCAGAAAAAGCTCTTTGACCTTCCCCAGCTCTTCTGCAGTACAGCAAGTCCTAAGTCTGGGAAGGATTTTCTGACCTTCCTCTTATGTAGACCATAAGGCCATCGTGTGGCAGGGTCCTTTCCCATAAAGGTGCCCTTCTCTGGCTCTGAAAATACATTGGCACAGCAATGAATCTGACAAAGAAGAGTTGCTAAGTTCCCCCAGCTTATTACCATTGGATCATATGCTTTTCCCAGTGATATTTCTTCACAACTGTCCAGTCTTTATCAAACCTAAGAATGTATAGATAGATCTGACTTTCTTTGGGCCATTATTTCCTTATGAAGGCTCAGGTGTCTTGTAAACCCCACATAAAATGCATTTGTGTGCTTTTCTCTTATTAATCTGCCTTTTGTTGTAGGGACCTCAGCCACGAGGCAGGGATGGGTACAGATCTGATGTTTTCTTCTCCTGTGTGAGAAAGAGAAGAGTATCATTACTTTGCTGCTCCCAGAAGAGAACTGGGGCCACTTAAATAATCTTCATCTTTTACATTAGTCTGATGTTGAATTTCTTACTCATTAGAATTTTTTTTAACTTCCATTTGGAATCTTTTACACTGGCAGTTTATCTAATGAAGGCTGCAGGAGACTTAATTTGAGGACATTTGCTTCATACTTTTATGCTTTAGAAGAAGGGAAAATACTTAAAACACTGGGAATTTTAATATCGGATTTGTTTTTCTAATGCTGCGAAACAATGAGGACTGCAAACCAAACAATTTTGGGGAGGAGCCCTTTAACCTTTATTTAAAGGCAAAAATAAATTGATTCCCAGAAAAGAGAAGCTTTGATTTTTGTGAGCCCCCTAGGTGCTGCTAGTACTACTCTCTAACACTACTGTTCTTATTTCAGTACTACTTAGAGTTGTCGACACTGGGTGTAACCATTAGCACTGTTGTTATCCAAACACCATAAAGCCAGATTCATTTCAACAATCGTGTGCATTAGGGCCTGTAGATTTTCTAAGTCAAATGCTTTTGTTTTAATAACACACTACCCTGACATAGTATTTCCTAGCTTTTCAAAGTGATTTTAGATATGTTACCTTTCACTTTTGCTTTAGATGTCCTCTGGGGCAGCATTATGATTGTTTTCTTTTGTTTTGCTGTTGACCAGCTTGTTTCTTTTTTTTCTTTTTCTTTTTTATTGAGGTTATTGGTACAATCTAGGTATACAAATACAGTTACATTCATCATTGGGATTCTGTACCTTTACATAATAGGTCTTGATTCTCATTTTTCCCCTTGTCCCTGCCCTCCCTTCACCCTCTCCTCCCCTCCCCATTTACAAACACTTTATTTCCATTTTTTCAGTTTCTCATATTTTTTTCCTCTCCCTTATTACCTTTCCCCCACCCTTCCCACTTTCCTTACACCTTTAGCCCTTTACTTCCTATTTCACATTATTGATTGTCTCATTAGGATCCTGTGTACTATTATAGTTTTTCACACCAAAGAAACTATTCGGTATTTCAGTTAAAGAAATCTCTGTATGAACATTAAAAATAGGGAATCCTAAAATAAAACTAAAAAGGAAAGTAAAAGAGAAAAGGCAATGATGTAACATCAAAATAATCCTTAATTCTGGAGATGAAAATGGTCCCTGAACATATTTAAATTGTTTCTCTCTCTTATAGTCTTTTCTTATTCTTTTTTCATTATTTAGAGAATACTTTATTAGTTTCTGTAATCAAACCGATGTAGATATGACCTTACATATTTAGTACGATGTGTTACCCCTGTACACATGGAAAAAAATAAAATAAAATAAATTAACATTTCTAGACCAATATGGTTGCCCATTTCTGTACAATGCCAAGTCAACACAGTAAATTGGGATGACTTTTTCCAATGTTGGCAGCACCGTTAAAGTTTCCCAAAATTCAATTTATATATGTGTGTGTGTGTGTGTGTGTGTGTGTATGTATATACAGAGAGAGAGACTAATAATAGTATGTTATGCATCGATAGCAGCAACAGCTTTTCCAGGTTCTGCAGTCATCTGAACAAAATTATAGACATTCGGCACATTCCATTAAAAAACAAAAACAAAAAACAAAAAAAAGAATAATATCCAGACAACAGCCAGGTTCTGTTGTTGCTGTGGTACCTGGCACCATTTTTTCTATTAGCCTTTTAATCATCATCTGGAAAGAGAACATTCTAGAGTAATATCCTTAAATGTAGCTCTGATAAGACCAGCTTGTTTCTTAAAGAAAAAAAAAAAAAAAACACTCCTGCACATGGAAAAAAATTCAAGTAGAAAGGGCACGTGTTAAAAGAGAGGAAGTCTCTTTTAATCATCTCTTCTTACCCCCACCTCAGTCACTCAAGAGACATAGCTACTGTTAAAGGTTTCTACACAGTCCATTAGAAATTGCTATGCATGCACTAGTACAGATTTATGTGTTCCCTTCAAAAAATGAGTTCACACAGCTGGGCGTGGTGGTGCACACCTGTAATCCCAGCACTCAGGAAGCTGAGGCAGGAGAATCGCTGTGAGTTCAAGACCAGCCTGGGCTACATAGGTGAGTTCCAGGTCAGTCTCAACTACAGAGTGAGACCCTGTCTCAAAAAAACAGAAAATAAAAAATAAAAAACGAGTTCATACAAAGACAGGAGCAGTCACTTTCCTGGTTGTGCCTTGCTTTTTCAGTTATCCATATATCTTGGAGATCTCCAACAAGCACCCACAGAGGTCTACCTCATTCTTTAGCAGCTTATCTAACTGGTCCCCTAGTGATGGGTATCTAGGTTCTTTCCAGGCTTCTCTACTATAAGCAGTGCTACAATGAGCAGTCAGGCAGAATGTCAACAAAAATGTATTTATATAGGGCTTACAGTGTTTTTCATGTATGTACAGTCATTTAACTCTCACAATTATCCCATGGGGTAGAAACTATCCTTCCTCTACTTTGCAGTTGAAAAAAAATAAGCAGAAAGAGCTTATTTACCCATTTCCCAAAGTTAGTGAGTGACAGAGCATGGGCTTGAATTCAAACAGTTCGGTTCTAGGATCCAGGCTCTTCACAAACACACTGTACCCTTGCTCGCTGTGTTTTGAATGAGTGATTAGATCTGCAAAGTCAGGCAGTGCTTTGCAGCTGAAGAAGTTGAGACCAGAGGTGTTTATGCCCATGATTACCCCCAGGTAATGGCCGAGTGGCTAAGTCTGCTCATTCACTGCCCCTTAGTGACATGCCAGTGCCTCAAGAATGTCATCTGTCTGGATTCCTGGGAAGTTCCAGACACTTTAGGCTCGGATAGAGAGTCTACATTTGAGCAGTGGTTTAGGGGAGTCTTTCAGAGACATGGCACAACAAATGAGTTTATTTCACAAGGTCTTTCTAACATTCAGACCATGCACTAATAGATAATGTTAAAGCAGATGTTACCGCAGCATATCTTTAATGTACAAATAAACTTTTTGATTGCAAGTTTATGTATATACTCCAAATTCTATTTAAAACTATTGCTCATTTTTTGCTATTACTCCCAAAGAAAAATTTACTACTCATGAGCTGAAAGTTTAGGCTAAAGAAAGTATTCCAGATTTAAACCTACATAACTGCACATTTACCCTCGAGAGGTACAAATCTAGCATCCTCTCCCAGCCTGAGAATGGCACAGCTGCAGACTATATCTGAAATCATCTTCCAAAGTGCTGGGCAGCTCTTGAGACTTGTAAGCAAAACTATTTTCAAGCACCTACTTAGTTTAAATAGTTTTGGAATCTCCTTCAGACCCTCAGATAACTCTCATTCTTGCTCCATTTGATGGAACTGTTTCAGATTGTAAGGCCAGAGGGCTCTTTGGGAGCATCTAGTACACTCTTTCACCACCACAAGGCCTCACATTGCCTAGCGCTTTAGGGTTTTCCAGTCACTTTGCCACTCGCCAATTCTTCGGCTCCCGTGCAAGCAGCTACTGTGTCCTCACAGTTTTTGTATCTCCATCGCCTAGGCAGGGTGTGACTCACGGTGGAAACTCCACCAATGTTTGTCAAATCCTCCCCTAAAATTTCCTGGATCATCATCCCAGCTATTTCCTGGGAAACCTGAGCACTTTTGACAGTGGGCAGGCTTGCTGGAGACCCAACCCTCCTGTCTTACTGGCCTAAAGGATTTGAATTGGATTTCTGGGCTACATATGTAGGTTTTTGTCTTTTTTTTCTTTATCCATTCATGAGTCATATAACTACTGTATGCCAAGTGTAATGCCACTCACTGGGTGCACAGAGATGAACCAGAGATAGAGAGTTACAGTCTCATGTGGATGACAGAAACAATATGGAACATACAAAATTCAAACCCTGACAGGGGCACTGAAGGTATTGTGATGGAAAGAACCAGGAAGACTTTGATTGTGAGATCAGGGAAGGCATCTCTGAGGAAATGGCATTTAAGCTGAGATCTGGAGGAGGGAAGAGGTCCAGATACTTGCAGAGTTGAGGCCACAGGAACAACATATATGAAACCACCAACCCAAGAAAGAGGTTAGAGCAGGAAGCACTTCTGCTGCCCCTCTTACACCCTCTCAGTCTTCCTCTGTTTTCAGCCACAGCTGTGGTGAACAGTTTCCTGCAGGTTCAAATAACCTAGAGATACTAGCCCCCTACTGCAAGCATCTACGCATCTTCCTGGCTCTTCTGATGGCACCAAGTGCAGCCTAAAATGAGATGTTAATGCTGCCCAGGCAACTCTCAGCTGTGGAAGACAAGAGCTGGTAGACAAATGCCCCCACTGTGTACCCTTTAACACCTTCGGGGACAGTCTGTGTACATTTCAGGAGATCTCAGCAGAATGCAGCCTTGTTGCCCAAGCTGGCAACCTCAAAAAATGTGCTCACTTTGGTTTTTTCCTGCTTCTTTTCTTTCCTACCCTTTTCTTGTCTTGATTCCTTCTGACTTCCTCCCCAATTTGCACCTATGTCATTTCAAGGAAACTCAAATTAGGATGTATCTGTTAGAGGAACTGGCCAAAGAAAGTCTGAAAGAGTGTGAGCAAGGAGGTCTGTTAAGCAAAATGGAGTTGGAACTGTAGGATGGGCAAATTATGGAGTTGGAGGCCGTAATGAGAATGTTATACTCCAAGCTTCTTGGTGGAGACCGGGCCAGGCATGCACAGTTGTGGCTCTAACAGTAGTCCAGGAAACAGAGGATGGAGGCTTGTACTGTGAGGTTGGCAGAGGTGATGAAAAGAAATGGACAGGTTGGGATATATTTTAAAAGTAGAATGGTCTTCACTTACTATTGGGTTGGATGAGACATAGGCTGGGATCAAGGATGTTGTTCTTGCTGAAGCAGCTGGGTAGATGGCGTTAATATTTCCCTGAGAATGGACCAAACAAGACTGGGCAGGAAAATCAAGTGTAATTTTTGCCTTCATAAAATCTGAGGTGCCTGTGTGATATCCAAATGGAAACATCAAGTGCATGTTTAGATATATGAGTCAGAAACTCAAGGGAGTGGCCAGAATTGTAGCTCTAGGGATCATCTGTGTGTGTGTAATGTTTAAACCAAGGGACTAGATAAATTTGCCTGGAGATATCTGTTAGCTAGAGCAAAAGAGTGAGACCTATCATGGAGCTCTCCAGAGCTCCAGCATTTGGACATTAGGCAGAAAAGTCAGCAAAGAAAATTTTAAAGAACCATTGAAAATCCAGTAGACTGGAGACATCACACAGTTCAAGAGAAGTGAATGTTTCAAGAAGGAAGAGGTGTAAAAATGGAAACAAAGCTTTTGTGCATAGGAAGAGAAGGGGCTTGAGGTAGGGGGAATGGGATGAAATAAAATAAAATTTATTTTTAAAAAACAAAAAAAAAAGAAGGAAGAGGTGGTCAACTATTTTGAATGTTGCTCAGAGATGGAATAATTTGAGCTACCGTCATCGCTCATATTTTCTTTAGCCTTTCATCACAAAAGGCACATACTCTCAGGTCAGATGCTCTGACTGCAATGAAACTATTAAAAGACACAGATGAATTTGAGGCAGTCACTAAATACTGGCTCTGGCTTAGGAAATCTCTTCTATGGACGTGCTTAGGTCTGAGTTCCTCCCTCAGTGAGGGTCTCTGTTTGCCTACCTCCCTAATAAGTCTGTACCCCCTTTTCTATTCCATTGTCCAAGTCTTTGAGCTTTTCTAGCCCAAGGAAGCAATTAAGAGGAAGATCATGTTATTTTTCCCTTGGGCCCTAGCCATAATTTAAGAATCTTACTATCTTAGGCCTTTCTTTCCTGGGTCTTCAGGTCTCAGATCAATACAATTACTCAATTTCTAAATCCTCCCACTTGACTTTCTCTCTTTTAATCTCTTCTTCCAAGCATCCTTTGGGCTTTCCTTATTTCACTCTTGTCTCATATCATAGCCCTGGCAGAATCACTGGAGTCTAAAGTTGACAAAATAATATCTTCTCTGCACAGTCACTCATCAGGGTCTCCCAGACTGGTCCCAGGAAATTTCACCGATCTTTACTGATGTTCGGGAAAAACTACCCAGTGTCCTACTGCCACAGGGGACTCTCTCTCTAGAAGCAATCCCTCTCTTTCTGTACAGTTTAGATAGCGGGCAATAGCTAATACTCTGCTGTTGTATCTGAGTAGTGAGGGAAAATTCTTTATTTCATGGCTATCCCCTAAGAAGACAGGAACATACACATAAGTAGAGAACTTGCACGGATCCACATCTTGCAGCCAGATTTTCAGGATAATGATAGATATTTTCTATCTTCTAAACCACTCCAACCTCCGGCAACTAAACAAACTGCCTCAAGTTACACCATTTCATGAACAGCAGTCAGGCCTCTGTTCAAAGTGTGCCATTGTCTTCTTTATTTATTTCATCCAGTCTTGCCTCATAAGCCTACCAACCCACCATCCATACGATAACACAAGCCCTCCACGGCCACAGCCCTCTCCTCACATGCCCGTGGAAGCTGGCCATGCCTCTTTCCACCTTCCCTGTGGACCTTACCCAAAATGCTCTCCTGATACAAGCCATGCCCCTTCCTGGAACATTGCCTTGCACACTCCTCCAATCTTCATTTTTTCTGCCTAGTAAAGGACTTTGGTGTCCATCCATAATTCAATCTTTGGCTCTTTCACGAATTTTAATTTCTCTCTGCATTAGTCTGTACCCTCCATCCAAATAATAAAATCCTTTGTAATCTCACTGCCTGCCCCCAACCTTGGACAAGACCTTACTACCTCTAACCAGAATAACGTTAATAGCACTTAAAGTTTTGTTTTGTTTTTATTTTTACGGTACCGAGGATTAAACCCAGGGCCTTGCTCTGAACTACATCTTCAGCCTTAGGCCTTTTTTGTATTTCTTTATTTTGAGACAGAATCTCACTAAATTAGCCAGGCTGGCTTCAAATTTGCCCTCCTCCTCCTTCAACCTCCCAAATACAGGAATTATAGGCATATCCCACTGCACTTAGCTTTAGGTTGAAGTTTCTTTTCTTAACTCCCACATCTCTAACACTCCAGCTCCAGCCGCACTGACCTTTCTGGCTTTATCTCCCACCACCATATGCAGCTGTTTGTTCATTTGTTTTTTTGTGTGTTTGTTTTTTTGCACAGAGCTGGGGATGAATCTAGGGCTTCACAAACACAGGTCAGAGCTCTACCTCTGAGCTACACCCTCAACCTTTTTTTGGCGGGGGTACTGGGGATCAAACTCAGGACCTTGTACTCTTGAGACAGGCAGAGCACCACCAAATTCCCAGCTCTCTCCTGCTATGGCTTTAGTTGTAGTGCTGGTCACGTGGAGCCCTGTGCTCCCTGAGCCCACCATGCTATTTCACACTTCTCACATGCCCTTACTAGAATGCACTCCCATGCCTTATTCACCACACCAATCCCTATGCATTTTCTGGACTTTAGTAAACAGTGAAAGTTCCTTAGGAATCCTTCTCTGATTTAGATGCCCCTCATCTGTGCCTCCAAAGTACTTTATTACTATTTCTTGGACTTTTTGGTAAATATGTGTTTACTTCAGGAATAGGAGCTATATCTTTTTTTAATATGATACACTCAGTGCCCAGCATTGTAATTGGTACATCATCATCATCATCATCACAATAATAAAACCTCCCATAAGTATTTGTTAAATGATTAAATGAGTGAATGTCTTATTGGTTTCCAGCATATTGTCCCTCATTCTAACTTGGTGTCATAGTCACCTGTTAGAACAGATATCTTACGTCTTCCCTACCTAAAAGCCACCAAATGGCTCCTCCTGGCTAACAAAATCCAGCCTCTTCAACTCAAAATTCAAGGTCCTTGGCAATATGAACCATATTCTATGCACACCTCAACTCTACTTTCTGTTTTGCAACACTGTTCCCTGTGCTTCCCAAACCCTACTTATTGATTCTACTCAGGATACTCCTCCTAGGTTTAAGAGCTTTGGTCTCTCCTCCTATCTCTCCAATCAATGTCCAACCTGTTCCTCAAGCCTCCACTCAAATCCCACCTCCTTTATAAAAAATATTCTGAGATCTGTCCCTCTGCCTGATTCATAATTAATCTCTCTTCTATTTTGATATCTCTCTAACATTTTGATATGTCATTACAGTTTTCATTGCTGTTTGTTCTTATTAGGGGTGAGGGGTCTCCAGTAGGTTGCGTGCTCCTAGATAGCAAGACTCCCATAGCACCTATGACAAAGTTCATATTCAATCAACTAACCTTTTGTTAGAAGCAGCTCTGAATTCCAGACTGGCTTCTTTTTCCAGGTTTATCTGTTTTTAACCTTGGGAAGATCGCTTAACTTCTATTGGCCTCCTTCATCTCATCTCTAAAATAAGATTCATCACATTGGGGAAGCTTGAAAATAAATTATTTATCATTTTGAAAGTGCCTCAAGATCTTTAGAGATTGGCATTTCTATTTTGGGGGCATCTTTCCTGCTACAGCTTGCAATTTCTTGAAAGAAATGTACAAGGAAAAGGGGATGGTATGTTCAAAGAACAGTTCTTCTCAGAACCTGAAATAATTACATCCTGTATTTTAGACAAGGTCATCTTTTAGCCTTGATGGTAAATGATGGAGTCTTGAAGAAACCTGCATTTCCTACCAGTGGCTTTAAAGTGATTACAGTATTTATGTCAAATTGTAAAAAGATGAGTAAGAATCCTATCATCCAGAGAGCAGGGATTTCCCTGAGGGGAGAAATAAATGAAGAACATGTTCAAAGTAAACCTAAATGTAAATGACCTTTACAGAAACCAGTCTCTTGTTTGTCCGTTGTGTCAGGGCTAGTGGTTGAGACACTGATTTGAGTGATTCGTTTATTTCAAGACATTTAAGATACATTCAAAGTCAAGGGCAAAGTGAATGAGTCACTGGCAATAATAAGTCATGTTTCATGTGCTTTAGCTCACTCGGTCCTCACAGTCCTCCCCTGAGATACTCAGGGCAGGTATTACTAAACCTGCTTGATGGCTGAGAAAATTGCAGTCCAGTGTGGTTACACAACCAGGCCAAGGCAACTCTGTAAATGGTAAAGGGTGGAGCCTGAACTCAAATTGATCTTTGACTCAAACTCAGGCCTCCTCCCACTCAACCCACCACCTCTCAGCCCTGGGGCCCTGGACACTGGGACTGGGGCGCTAGGGCTGCCTGAGAAGATCAGAACTCAGGGACTTCAGAGAATTTCCAGTGCAGCTTCAAGTACCTCTCCCAACAAGGTCTCTGAGCCGTTCTGAGCCTCCTTTTACCCTGGTGCCTGGGCTTTCTCAAGGGCCTAGGTCAGCTAATCAGTCTCCTTTTACCTCAGCTGGGCTTCTCCGCCCCTCCAAGTTAATGGTGCCAGAATGAAAACATCAGCACAGGAAAGGTAGTGCCTGAGAGGATCTTGACTGCATCCCCAACAGCTTCCCTCTGCTTCTCTGAAGAGAGGACTCAGCACTCAGAGACTGCGGTTCCTAAAGTCAGAGGGGAGGCTCCCAAAAACTGTCAATTATCCACAATGAGAACGTCTACCTTTGCATCTCCTCTACCCAAGCATCTCTCTCTCTCTCTCTCTCTCTCTCTCTCTCTCTCTCTCTCTCTCTCACACACACACACACACACACACACACACACACACACACACACACACCTTGTAACATTCTTTACCTTGGCCTTAGGTCATCGTTCTCAGTGTTCACGTCAGATGTTTTCTATCCTCCCTAATGTATCACAGGGAATCTTACTGTTATGTACAATACTGGAAAACAGTATTTATATTAAATACTCTTTGGGCCTCAGGTATAGTGCTAAGATAGTGTAATAATTCTCACAACAGCCTTAGGAGGTAGGTACACTGATGTTCATTCAAGTTTTATAGCTGAAAAACTAGAGAAGTGGATACATTATTTGTTTAAAATATCTAACAAACACCAAAACTGGGCCAAGAGTGGAGTATGTCAGTACACTTCTCTGCAATCCCTGAACGGCCTAATGGGGATAATGTTGAATTACAGTAAGACCTAGCAGTGCACTTAGTGGGCTATCATGAGCATCTATTTGATTTGAGTAAACTGTTGGGTAGTATAACTTGGAAGACACATAATAATAACAATAATGATCATTTTACTGCCAGATTCTGTGCTAAACGCATGGATACTCAGTCTTTCTTACTCTCTACTAATCCCTCTCCTATTCTTCCAGGGAAATCATTTTTACTCGCTGAAGAAGCTGGGACACTCATTCTGCGGAATTTCCTCCACTCCAGATGTTGTGGATTATATAATCCTCATAACAATCACCGCATTAATCTCATGAGGTACGTACTTTATTATTCTCATTTTGCAAGTCAGAAAAAACATGGCTCAGGGTGATGAAAAATTTGCTAAAGGTAACATAGGAAGTGGTTGAGGGTAAAAACCCAGCCCACTGACTCCAAGCATGCTCTTACCTTCTAGAGCCGACAGCCTCCCATATAGACACACCCCGTGAGCACCTGCTAAGCAGACCTCAGTCATTCTGCTGTACCTCACTTTACTATTTACCACAGAGACACAAAAATTAAAGAAGAGTGGTACTTAGATGTTTTGTGTTCATTTGCAAGTTTTATGAGAACCATAATTAATGTCCAATGTTTAACTAAAGAAGTATAGCACACACAACTCTGAAATGATAAACTTAGACATTTGTCTTTAGTAAATTAAATATATCATTACTTTATCATTAGGTGGTCTATTTATAATATTTTTTTTCAGTACTGGTGTTCAAACTCAGGACTTTGCACTTGCCAGGTAGGCGCAGTGTCGCTGAGCTACATCCCCAGCCCTTTACGGTATTTTAAACTCATAGTTTAAATGGTAAAATATATAGTGTCAAAAGGATTTATATAAAATAATAGGTTGATAGTGGTTTATGAAAGGAAGCCAAAGGTATTTATTATAAATATCTCAACTTTTAAAATTACAAATACAAGTAAGAAGTGTATTGAATATTTGAGGGGAAAATTAGAATACAAGGAAAGTAAAAGCTACCTACTGCGGCCTTACCCTCAAATCCCACATTTTTTTGAGGTTAATATCTGAGAAGTAATCAGCCTCTTCTATGACACATGACTACAGGGACAAGGACAAAGTTTGTCTTACCAGTAGCAAAGGTCTAACCCAGGGGGAAATCTCTAAAGAGTGTTTCAGAAGGAGTGGAGACTCTCCTTGCAGATACTGGAGAGCTGAGAATCTCAGAAAAGGAACAGAGTATCCAGTGGTAATGAGGCAAGGGTCATGAAACCTGGAATTTAAAGCTGAAAGAGAGCTGAACAAAAAATGTGATACTTGTAAGAAAGAAATGAAAAAAATAAAGAGTAAAAGATGAAAAGAGAAATGGACTTACGGCAAATTCTGGAAGTTTTGACCCTAAAATCGCTTAAGGAAATGACATTCAAGACATATATTTGACCTGTTGCTGTGGCTTCAACGGTCCATCTAAAGCTTATGTTGAAATTTAACTGTACCAATGGTCATTGTGACAGAGGGCTCCACCCTCAGTTAAGGCTGTCATTGTGGGAGTGGGCTCCTGACCAATGGATGAGTTTTGCAGATTTTTCTCTCTCGCTTAAGCTTTCTTCCTCACCAGGCAATGCCCTCTGCCATATTATGGTGCATGAGGATACGAGGTGCCCACACCAGATATGAGAGCCACGCTCTTAGAGTTCACAGCCTCTAGAAATGTAAGAAATAAATCTCTGAGCTCTATAAATTACCCAGTCTTGGATATTTTTTTATAAGAGAGAGGGGCAAAAAAGCCTAAGATATCCATGTAGTACACGGCCAGGTCACAGGATGAATTGGGACATTTTAAAAAAACGTATTAAGACCTCACCTTCCTCAAACACACTAGGCCAAGAGCTGACAATGCCATTCCCTGGGCTTCCTAGAGCCGACCCAGGACATCCCCAGTTGTCTTCATCTCACTCATTACAGCAAATACAGGTTCCTGGCACCTCCTTGTCCTTCTGCAAGTTCATTTCTGCCCAGCCACCAACATGAGGGCCCAGAGCCCAATGTCTGTCCTTAACCCTCCTCTTTGCCAAGAGAGGAGAAAGGCCTCGCTGTCCCTGGTGCTAAAACCAGGCGTAAGTGATGGATGTTCGGCCAGCCACAGCACAGATGGAAACAGTTTGACATTGCAATACAACTGGCCCAACTCCAAGTTCAATTCCTTCTGGAGATGCCACATTTTTAAAGTTAACCATGGGCACATCTGTAATATAACCTATGGTGCTTATTATGTTATTTAATGAATGGGGCGTAACAGATCGTAAACAGTTTTATAGAGAGGCCTAATACACAGGCCTGCTTATTTCTTTTCAGTTGTTCGGACTGCTCTGCAGCCTTCTTTGCTTCTCTTCCTTAGAGCATTTCTACAGAACACAGGAGGCTGAGGTAAGCAGCCTTCTCAAGAGCCAAAAGAGACAGGAGGCTCAGCTCCTGAGACACCATCTTGGTGGTCTGATTTTAAAATTGGAATTTACTACATTTCCATTTTTTAGAAATTTTATTATCATTATTTTTTGCTCGGGCCACATAATAAACCAAAAGCTAATTTGGAGATTTTCCTATCAACAGAGAAGAAAAGCAGATTCCAGTGAAACGAGGCCAAGTAAAAAAGGGAAAGAAGCCCAGGGAAGCTTTTCAACCAGTATGAGTGAAGTCTTAGCTTAGAAGCCTCTTTTGAGCCAGAGGAAAAGAACACTCTCTTTCTCCCTCCTTCATAACCCCAGCTCAACTTACTTTTAAAAATTCTGCTTCTCAGTATGTTTACAGAAATCCACTCAGGCATATGTAGTTGTGTTTCTTCCAGAAAGGTTTTTAATTTATGGTTTCAAAAAGTCTACCTATGATGTTTAGGCCTAAATGAAATAGCTATTTACATTCCTTAGTTCTCCTAATCTTTATACACATGTGCCCATGCTGTTTATGTGATTCTTATCACAGAGAACACAAGATTTTATGCTCTACACTTTAAAGTGTGTGTTTTGACTAGATTTTTTCCAAGTCGTTAAGTATGGCTGGAGACCTTGATCTTTAATGCTTACATTTCAAATATAGAAGATTTTTTACTTTCACGTATATTAAAGTATTATAAAAACTGAGTTTCAAAAGTTACTTAAAGAGCCAAGCATTCGGGGAGGCTGAGGCAGGAGAATTGCAAGTTTGAGCCCAGCCAGAGAATCCAAGAAGATTTTTAAAAACAGATGAGAAAAAAAAAAGTGAGGAGGTTCATGAAGGCCACATCAAAGCCTTCTTTTGTCTAGAATTTATTAAAGTATCTCTAGCAGTGAAAAACATTCCCCTTCCACAGTATTCTTTTTACAAGTAAAATGAAAGGGGGAAGATATATTGAGTATATATATCCTCTTTAGTATTTTCCAAGAAATAAAATGAAAAAAGATGCTCTAAATCCCCAGTTGCCATATATAACAATAGAAAGGAGTAAAAAAAAAAGCAAAGATTAACAACACATTTGCCATGTTCAAAACTAAGAGTTAATTATCAAAGTTAATATCAAAGAGTTAATTTCATGGATTAAACTACATTTTTTTCACTTCTTTTTTTTTTTTTTTTGGTACCAGATACCGAGGATCAAACTCAGGTCCTTGCACTTGCAAGGCAAGTGGTGGATCATGTGATCCTCGTTGTCCTTTCCTAACATATTGTTTAAAATTTTTTGAAGTGCTGGTTTGGTATTCATGAAGTTCCTAAGGTGCTCTTTGTCATGAAAATATCTTATTTCTCTATTGATTTTAAAAGATAGTTTTGCAGGTTACATCAGTCTTGGTTGGAGGCTATTTTCCTTTAGGGCTCAAAATTCATCACTCCAAGCTCTTCTTGCCTTGAGGATTTGTGTGGAGAAGTCTGCTGTGATTCGGATAGACTTTCCTTTGTATGTTATTTGTATCGTTTCTCTAAGTGCTTGTAGAACTTTGTTATTCTGTTAGGTTTCTGGAATTTTAACTAGAATATGCCTATGTGTAGATTTTTTTTTAATCACAGCTAGTTGGAGTCCTATATGATTCACTTATCTGTATGTCAAGTTATTTTCCTGTACTTGGGAAGTTTTCTGACATTACTTCTGTGAACATTTGTTTGTTGGTTTGTTTTTTTATGTCATCTGCACTCTCTCCTGTTTCTTCATTGACTCTAATCAGTCTTCTGTTATTCTTTGCATAATCTAGCAGCTGCTGGATTGCTTTCTTGTGGTCCCTTACTATTTTTAAGAAATTTTTCCTTTCCTGATCACCAGTTGCAATCCTATCTTCTATATCTGAAATTCTATCCTCACATTGGCTCATTCTGCTGCATAAACTTTCAGAGGAATTTTTAATCTCCTCTAAATCTATTTGCATCTGTATTATGGATTCCATTTGTTTCCTATGTTGGGATTCTATCACGTTCCTCAGATCCTCTATTTTGTATCTATATCCACTCTAGATTTATTAATTATGTCTTGCACTATGGGCGCAATTTCTGCTGTTATCTGAGAAATTATTTCTGATTTCATTTTTTTCCGGATCCTCTTTCACTGCAGTTCGGGGAGTACAGGTGGCTGAGTAGCACATTTTTCCATCTCATTTCCCTTTGGGGTTGCCTTAGGTGGTCTGGAAGTCTGGTTTTGGGACTTGTTTCTATGTCTTCTCATTTCAACAGATGCAGCCTGCTGTGCCTTTGTTGAGGCAACGTTTTGCTCACCCAGTGGGCTTCAATTCTCAGTTTGCCACCAAGCAGCCTTTACTCTGCTGCTTACCAGTACACCAATTCCTGGGTTCGAATGGTAGCCTTCTGGACCCCTGAGCTGACCTGTTGTCTGGGCAGGCTTCTGGCTGGGGCCTATGCACACTTGGGTTGGTATCTAGGTGTGCCTCTCACTGGAGCCTCTATGTGCCTGTTGCCTGGGAGGGCCTTTGGCTGGGGCTGTGCACTGCAGTTCTTATTGTCTGAGCAGGCTTCTGGCTAGGGTCTCTGTGCACTAATTGGGATGAGCCTCTGGCTGTTGCTTATGCACCTGTGTAGCTCTTTTCCAGGTGGACCCTTGGCTGTGATCTGTGTGCGCATGCCACTGGGGTGGGGCAGGGCCCTGGCTGGGCCTTGTGTGTGTGTGTGTGTGTGTGCACATGCTCTGAGGATCGAACTCAGGTCCTTGGGCCTGCCAGGCATGTGGCAGAACCACTGAGCCAAATCCCTGGCCCCTCTAGTGCAATTTTTAAATTTACTATAACAAATTACCCCCAAACTTGGTAGCTCAAAACAACAAACATTTATATTC